GCGCTTGGGTTGGTAAAAGTCCTAGGTTATGAATCCGGCCAGGGCCTATTTTTCAAACTGAAAATATTCCATTTCAAAAAATGGGTTATCGTTCGTCTCATTGATTTGTCTGCTCAGTTTTGCTATCACTGACTTTTTTGTGCTGTGAGCAATTATAACTGCTGTTTTGAGTGTTTTTGATTTATTTCAGTAATTCGTAAATTTACTAGCACTGAGTTTGTTCATTTCCTATTTTTTTTTCGCTTAAAATCTTTATTTTGCCTGAATGGTTTTGGCGTATGTTTTATCGGCGTAGTGATCTAATTTTCATTCGTCTAAAACAAACATTATGTTTTCGCTCTTTGCCGGAAAGTTTTTATTATAGCTTAATTGCCGCTCGATAAAAGTTTTTGGATATTTTTTTTTCATAAAGTTCTGAGACAAATTTATGAAATTTTTTTAAAAGTGGTTTTTCTTTTGACTTATTTTTGGTCTGCTAGCTTGCAATGCCATGTTAGCAGGGTATCACAATTGATTCTGTACAGCAGTTGATTTCGCTGTAAAATGTTCTTGTGAAAGTTTATTTCAAATTCATTTGTTAACTAAAAGGCAGATTACACGAATAACAAAATTACTTATGACGCAAAAATCGTTTGTCTTTCGGTTTCAAAAAATGAATAATTTTCAGAACTCCCAGCTGAAAAAATATTGTTTTTTGACTCATTTTACTCTTATTGAGTTAGTTTAATAAGCTGTCAATCATAAAATATTCTTTAAACTCAAGGAGCTTAAACGTGATATGCTGTCGTCTTTTAAACTTGAATATTAAAATTTTCCATTGACTCTTTTTTAATTGAGTTACATGATTATTTTACAACTGACTCATGAATATTTATATTTATTTTTCAGATTTAATGTTCTTCCTCAAGTTAAAAAGTTTAATTTTTTAATGTTTACTAAATGATCAGAATTTGCATTTCATCAAACTTGCGAGAGTCTTTCTTCGAAGGCCTTTTGTTTTTTCAATGTAGAGAAACCTGGCATAGATTTGATATTTTAAAAAGCCATCGAAGTTGTGCTTTGGGTTCTCTCCCGCATTGAGGTTTCGTGGATTATAATTGAAGATTCCTGTATTACGCACAGCTTACTCGATTTCTAAACCTAGTCACTTTACCAATTTATTTCAAAACAGTTTACGTTGCCTTTTTAACACCCATCTTTTGTTTAATACTCAAAAGGAATAACCCCATACTTACCAACATCTCCTCCATACTTATCCCCTCGTACGTTTCCCCACACCTACCCCTAACCCCAACAAATAAAGTAATTGTGTGTGTGTGGGAGGTGGTGGTGGTAAATAAAATAAGTAAGAATAGTCGAAGTAATTGTTGGGGTGAGTGGGGGGAGGCGAGAGACACCCAAAATAAACATAAAACATTTAGGGGTGTCTGCAATTTTTTTATAACGCACCTGCAATTTTTCAAATAGAACTTTTCATCACCTTGTCCGGTGGTTACGAAAATTGGCTTGCGGACCAAATACGCCATGACAAAATTTTTTAGCCATCATACTTAATCTGAGAAAATTCATTATCTCACCAAAGTGAGATAGGCACAATGAAAAAAAAATCGGAAAGAAGACAAGTCGAAAACGATACAACAATTGCTTAAGCCAAATATAAATCTAAATTTAACTAGCGCAACGTTCAAGTTTCGAGAATATAACGAAAATGTTTTGAAAAATTCAGGCCCCTGCTTAAGCAAGGTTATAACCTATTTTAATCCCTTACAGTGCTGATTAAAACTATCTGGACAAAACGGATATAACTTGAAATTTAAATTGCATTTTTCTCAAATTGGATTGAATTTAGGTGAAAAACTCAAAATTTCGTTTTGCGAAATTCGGGCCTAAAATTTTACCCATAAAAACGAATCATTTTGGCTTTGTTAGATAATCAAAAATAACACCAAAACTGCCGAGTTATTTTTTGTCAAAATTATATCAAAGTGAATCTCTTACGTAACCAAACAAAGTTAAAGAAGACTCTATCTCCAAAAACTTGGAGCAAAATGTTTAGAAGTTGTTTATACATAAAAATAGGGTGTTTTTTCTAGTAAAATGTCATTTTTAGTCTATCAAACAAAAATAAATTTATGTTTACAAGATTATTGTCTTTTTAAACTTTGTTCGGCTACGAAAAAGGTTCACTTTGATTTAGTTTTTGCAGTATTTTTGATTATCTAAAAAAGCCAAAATGATCGGTTGTTGGGTTACAAATTTGGGGACGAATTTTGCGAAACAAACTGCATCATATTAGTTCTGCTGAAATTCAAAGCAAGTTTTGTCTTCATCATTTTTCGCCTAAATTCAACCCAATTTGAGAAAAACTCGTTTTAATTTTCGGGTTCAATGTGTTTTGTCCGGATTATTCAAATCAGCACTATAATCAATTATAATAAATAAGATAGATTTCTACAGAGTTTGATTTTTAATACATTAGTCCTTGATCCATTAATCGATTATTTTAGATTTTTATGGAGACAGACCATGAAAATCTATTATATTCGATTATTAGCCATAAAACTTCACTGTGGGCAGTATAAGAATTCGCGTTTCAGTTAGTGAAGTCATTGGTCGACGTTTTTAATGCGTTTTGAAATGGATATTTTAATGGTCAAGTTTTTTTTTCAGAGAATAGAGGCGTTTTCTTAAGTGACATATGTTTCGGTGCTTCTAAGATACAGAATCGTTTACCTTGTCATAAATTTGCGATGTGGAAAATGAAACAGAATTTACGTCTAAGTCGCCAGGTGTTTTCCGGAGGCTGGTTTTTGTCTTGGCATATTTATATTTGAATGAGTCTCCTTCCATTCAAAATATCGTCGTTGACGTTGACACAAAACTTGCTGTTAATTATTTCTGAACCGGTGGTTTAACTTGAATTTCGGCTTTTTGTATTACTCGAAGCAATCGCTGCTAATTAATTTTACTAAGTATTAATGAGACGAAAGCTGCTTCTTAATCGGAGCAGCTGATTAAGCTGGATACATACATCCTATTTGTAATTAAACCTCCATAATTCAGTGCCTATTTATTTCTTTGCACCTGGTATTTTGTAATACCATCGTGACAGACTTTCTTTGCTATTTTAATGTAACTAAGAATATACTCGTGCCTTTTTCTTCGAGAGCTTATTAAATTTTCATATAATGCGAAGGAAATGCAGTGAAATTAGCCAGGACCAAGTTAAAATCATAACCCCTCCCCCAAAGCTGTTTAAGAGCAGGATGTTAACTAGGTTCTGAGTTTGAATTTTCAGCCAATCAGAATAGAGCATTTTACACGCAGCTGAAAAAATTCTATTTAAATTCAACGCTAGGTTGGATGATCTTAACTTGGTCTATTTTGGGGGAAGGATGTTAGCTTGATCCATCAGCCAAAATTAGCATTTACTATGACTGACGTTCATGAGAAATATTAAATGGTTAGTTTGGCAAACTGAACATCATTATACTTTATCTTGGAGAAAAATAACAACTACCAAAATGTTAGAGCTTGAAGTATAATCTTGTTGAGCGAATCAGTTCAGTTTTTGATTATTTTAAAGAGCAAAAGGTAAGTTTCACATAAGTTTTATGAACTAGGCGATGTCGTATTAGTGATTTAAAGAGTATTTATGATTGGTGGCTTACCCTGATTACTGGAAACTGGAAATAAGTTTAAAATAGAACTTAAAATTGCTTTAAATTCAGTAAATTAGTTAGTGGCTGTCATTTTTATCAGACTCGATTTGCGATTTGGAGTATTAACACTGTCATAATCATCAGAGAGGCGTGGGGATTATAAGGAGAATTAGAATGAAGTTGGCTGGGGATTAAAATGCAGATTCGATTTGGGAGGTCACCAAAGCTACTGTGTTGCGCATACAAATTGCAAATGGAATTCAGCGAACAATGTGTCTCGTGTGTTTTTATTTAGCAGCTCCTTTATTCTCTTCTTCGCCTTCTCTTAATTCCTACTTTTAGTGCTTCTTTTAATACTTTTTCGTATACTAGTTCTTCGTCTCATTCCAGTTTCAGTGCTAATTCTTCCTGTCATTTCTTTCCTAGCTATCCTTAAGTGTCTTCCCCTTTTTTTTAGCATTTTTCCCTCCAACAAACTTCAAATCATTTTTTCATCACTTGTTCACGCGTTCGTTTATTTTTGTTCACTCGACTACAAAGTAAAGTAAGTGTTCTTGATTTTAATCTAAAAGGGCGGAAATTGTTTCCAATTAACTATAAAAATTCATGTTACCTCTAAAATGGAGTGCTTTTATGGTGTCATGTTTAAATTTCGTTTCTGAATTTCACCTGAACTGAATTTTTTTAGTAGTATTTGGAAAAATTTGATTGATGAACCTGGGTTTTTTTTCAAATCCATAAACTACAGGTTATTGCCTGCGAGTATAGGTTTTCATCTTAAGGAAAGGATTGTGAATGAGATATAGATCGTTTCCTTTTTCTAAATAGCTGAGCCTAAGCAACGTCAATCAATCAGGTCTAATTGTGACTGTACCGAACTGCAGTGTAATATCATCTCTCGTGCGAAATATTTTGGCGCCCGTCAAATCAGTTTTAATTTCGAATACTTCTTTTTGATTAGGCCTTTCTAAAAAATGTTTCTTTTTGTTTACAGATAATTCCCATGGTACCGCAGAGTTATCGCTTCAGCTCCCGTCGCCGCAGCAGCAGTTTGTGCGCCGCTAGCTTTAATTGCACTTCCGTACAAGATATCCCCAAGTCTGTTGACCCAAAATTATCAACATTATATTCAACTTTAATTCAAAACTTACATCCTGTCCAAGACATCGACTATCAATTCTCAACTGACAAAGATGGATTACTTTCCAATTCGCAGTTATGTTGCACTCCTGTTGAATAAACCTGCGTACTCTGAGTTAGCCTTTTCCTCTATTTATAACCCCAAATTACAAACGACTAAATCCAGAAATCTAGCCATTCTGCCGCCATTTCAAGATCATGGAAACATCCTCTGCAGTATTGCCAGCTACTGGCAATCCGGGATCGGCCGAACTTCAAACGTCTTCTGAAAACCGTCAAAACTCGGATCTGACTTCAAAGTTGACTAATAAGGGGAATCAAAATCATGCACTAACTACATCGAGTACAGTTACGAAAGACCTATCTTCTAGAAAATCGCCAATATCTGAGACCGAAACTCATACATCATCATACAGGAGTTCAAGTCACCAGTTGCTTTCTGGTGGCAAGAGATCCTCAATTGTTGCTCACGTGCCACCTTTCAGTCGATCTATCCAAGCCCCCTTACCCGCGACTAGCGAGTCCAATAATTCTGAGAGTCAATCGACAGATTCGGAAGCTCCGTTAAAAAATTCTCTGAGACAGAGTTCTTCGTCGTCTCTGTCATCGGGAGCCGAAACCACCGAGAGGTCGGCGTCTATCCTTCGACAGTCAAGTTCGAGTAGCACAACTGAGGGCTTCTCGGCTAGCACTGTTGCGGTTTCGGGACCTTCACCCAACTACCTTCCTTCGGACGCAATATCAGTTTTCCATAGCCTAGTTTCCTCTGCAATTGACCAATGCTTACGCAATTCTTCCCAGTCTAAAGTTCGTGTATCCGTTTTCTCAAGTCTGTTCGATACAGTTTCAAGGTCATCTACACAATCAAATTCTCCGACTCTAGAAAGTCAGGAAGCTGCTGGCAACCTGAAGATGACATCAACCCAGACCCGAAATAACGACTCGGCGAATGTGGCGACTTCTGTTTTGAGTATTCCAGGCAGCCGAAAGAATGGAACTATCCAGTCTTCGAACTCGGCAGCAGCTAGATGGACTGCTGACAAAAATGACTCATCTAATGACGCTTATCAGTCCCCAATGGCCTCTCCAAACATGCTCAAAATAGACGAAGAATCATCTTTCAACAATGCGAATGCGCGGGACGAAGTTAATAAATCGAAATCACTTGTGGAAGGTTTGCTAGAAAATGGAGGTCAAAAATCTACAAATTCTCTTTCTCGCCAATCATCAGCTGTCAATAAGTCAGATGTCAAAGGTGAGCCAATTTGAATATTGCAAATTTATTCAGGAATCAATTATGCATAAATTTTGCCAATTTAGTTATGCGCGTAGTAATTAATTAGCATTTTTGTTAAAATTTAGATGCTAAGAGTTGCCTTGAACGCAAATTCCGGGGGCTGCGTAATAAAAATGAAAACTCGAGCGGTTGAGTTGCATTTATTTTTTAATTCATCAATAAACAAAGCCTTTTGAAGATAATTTTAAACTGCTCATTATTTTCAAGCTGATTTACAAATCTCCAGGCCTAATTCAATTTGGCAAGTTGTCTTTCGCTTCGCTCATTAATCAGCCGCGTTTCCCAGTCAGATAAAAAAGAATGAAGACTTTCAATTAGCAAATGTTTTGCTTTGTTCGTTCGCTACCGTTGGCGACGTTGCGACAATATTTTCAAAGTTTATCGAAAACTCTTCACCACGTGTATTATGACAAAACAAAACGTTATTAATTCATTAATAAAAAAACTTTTCTGACGTTTCATTCTATTTCAAATCAGCTTTCAGTTTATCAAAGCATAAAGGAAAACTACCAGTAATTGAATCAAATCTATTTCGTTTAGACGATTCAGTTGTCGCCGAAAATACTGAAAAGGAGCGAGCTGTGACTGTCAAGAGAATATCGCCCAATGACGCTAAAAAGTCTGATCATCAGAAATTAAACGAAGTGAATCGATCTGCAGTAAACAAAGAAGGAACAAAACATTCGTCCGCTGAAGGTAACATCAACTTAGCATCAATTCAGTCGCCACAAGCTGGGGAGGTTTCTCAGGGTTCCAGGAGCCGAGAAGATAAAAACGGTCTAGAACAGGAGACGTCTTCCAACAACAGTTCAAGTGATATGGTTAGTCATCTTACCAAGTATCTATTAGAGCAGCATTTGTTCAACGCTCTCCCGTCTACGCTAGCAGAAAAGAGCGGACAAGTTCAAGCGGCCACCGAGTTGGACTCCCAGACTAAGGCTAGCCTGATGGCCGAAGTTTTCGGCGACGAGCGTCAATTCGCCTCGGCCATAGCGAACGCGACAGTAGCGGCATTAGCATCGCGCCAGCGACTGGGTGTTCAAGAACCGCCTGCAGCTGTTGTCGGCGGTTCTGGAACAACTGATGCGTTGTTTTCAGGACCTTACTCGACGCCAAGTCCGAAGTTAATAGGAACACCCCCACCTTTAACGAAAGATGAACCACTTAACCTCAGCGCACCATCCCCATGCTCGCTTTCACCTACTGAGCAGAAAATAAAGATCGTAGTTGCCAGTGAAAATATAAGCTCATGTGAGCCAACTCGCGAAGTTGCAGTAAGAACTAGAAGCGAATCTTTGGAGGGAAAGGATCAGGATAAGAACGAATCAGGATCAGGTGCCAGTGTGAAGCTGAAAGACAGTTTGTCGGAATCAGTTGATGCAGCTAAAATTTCAACTATGTGTTCGGAAGATGTTGTTCGTGGGCTTCTAGAGAGCAAAAAAACGGTAGTAGAAAGCGGAAAGTTTGGCTCAATTATCGGAAACTTGTCTCCACAAAATGAAAACACGTTAAGTGGGATGCATAAATCAAAATCAGACCCGGGCTGTTTGCGGAGAAATTCAAACGCATTCACGAAGTTGTGTCATAGCTTGATTCATTCGGAAGTAATGAAGTTCAGTGGCTCGGAAATAAATACCTCCTCGCTGGTTTCTTTGAATTCTACCGATAGTACACTGAAGGAAATGAAAAGGCCGACCGATGCGTCAGCTAAGCATCTGCCAGCAAATTTACTGTCCAAAGGTAACAAAAGTTTGTGAATCGGTTTTATAATGTTTTAAAACAAACGCTCTTGCTACAAGCTGTGAAGGGAATGGAATAGCACTCAAAAAGAAAAAGTCATTTTAATAAACAATCACAAGTAATATATCTAAAAACTAATTGGCATTTCGAATTTGTAAAGGATAAGCAATAAGACTAGCTGGTCCACTGACTGGGTGTTTTTTACGGGGTTGACCATATCTATGGTCATTTACTTGGAAACTGTTATTTAGTGATTTTGTAAAACAGAGTTATTTTCAAAAACAAGCTGGCAAACGCAGCGCTAGACGGTCTGTCACTATTTTCTCTAAATATAAAAGTATGAGTTAAAAGTTGAATAATCAGTTAAAGCAAAAAAATTACAGGATTTTGTTGTTGAGATGATTTGTGCTTTGTGATAATCATGGTTTTTAAGTGTGAATTAACGTAGTGATGAATACGCTTATTGAAGATCGTGTTTTTTTGTTGTTTTTCTATGAATTGTCTTTTTATGTAGTGTACTTTTTCATTGATTTTTTTCTGCTTTCGATTAACAAATATTCAAATGTCAAAAAAAGTGAATAATTTCTAGTTGCAAAATTGGATTAATATTTCTGATTGTCCAGCGTAATTAAAAATATAAATTAATCCTGTTAAGAGCTAGAAAAATTTTACCTTTCTTTGTTAGAAAATGCTTCAACGAAAGTCGGTTTTTCGATTTACTGAGGTCATTGACACTTCCAACTGTATAAAAAATCAGCTGATCCTAGAAAGCGTGTTTCAAAAGGAAACCAGTCCAAAAAAATCTGCTTCAAAAAGCATCCCAAAACAGACTTTTCCCAATCGCCTGATTGAACTCTCAGAGCAAAAGTCGCACTATCGAAGAGCAAAAGTGAAAGGGCCACGAAAAACGTGATCGACTTCTACTTTCTAATTTTATTTTCAGATTTCCTATTGATTCAGTTTTCTCAAACTGGGAAAATTTTGTCAAGTGTCAATCATAAATTGTTCTAGAAATTCAAAGAGCTTTAAGGCCATCTATTTTTTACTTAGAAGTTCGAAGTTGAGATTTTTGCAAAATTGCCAGACATCAATTTTTTCTGTTTTCTTGGGTTCATGACTCTTTTCCAACTCTGTTGGCTGTTTTAGATAATACTTACATGTGAGCGTATTAAAAATATTTCTTACTTTATTTCTACCTCAGTTTGTACTTGAGAACAATAATTTTTAAGTGGAACAAAGAATGGCGAAAATCAAGAGTTAAGAAAAATATGTCAGTTTTCTATTATGAGGAAGTTGCTCAGTTTTGAGGGAAGTTGCACAGTTTTCTTTTCGGGTTCGGGATTTTTGGCAGCATAAGCTAAATCTCATCGAGGTTAGAGTGCCTGCAATTTTACTATCTATGGGGTATCGGCTTAGTCGCTTCTGCTTCCCCATTTGAGGAGCGCAAGTAGATTTTGATGTTCATGCATGCATCGGGGTGGGGGAACAAAAAACAACAAATAAGTATTCCGGTTAAAGGGCGTCTACACAGAGGCGAATCTAGGGTTTTCTCGACGAGGGCAGATTTTCAAAAAAATTTACTTTTTTTTAGTTCAATGAAATTGATTTTCTGACCTCCCCAAATCACTATTAAGACTCTATTTCGACCAAATTTTCTGCGCCGTAGGCGAATTTTTGAAAAAACCGGCCAAAAAAGGCGTTTTTAGGTAATTTTTGGAAGGTTTCGTCCAAAAAATTGTGTTTTTTTGGCGCGAACTATCCCCTCATAATTAATATATATTGGCGGGTGGTAGATATACCAGCCGAAGTATCAAGCAGCCGAAAATACGTAGGTGTTAATAGTTACCTAACAGTTATGTAAAAAAGTTACGAAAGTCTTGAAAATTTCATTGATATGAAGTAACGTTTCAAATGTTACTCCGCGCATTTTCGATTGGTTTATACTTCGGCAGGTTTTTTTTGCTCTCATCTTCGCGACTTAAGAATTATTTTAGGCTCTGTCAGCCAAAAATTGATATCTCAAAAGAGTACAAAAGGGGACCCTTTGGGTCGGCAGGGGGTCGAATCCCTGAGGGGGGAGCCTTCGCGCCTCCTCCTAAATCCGCTACTGCTTCTACATAAGTATTATCGGATTAGTCACCGCATAGTGAATTTCATTCGAGAAAAATATATAAAGTTTTTGAAAAATTTCGAGTTTGTTTTAAAAAAATTTTTCAATAATTTGTCTGACTTATTTGGCTTCCGTCCATTTTCTGTCAACTAGCTTGAAGTGCTATGTTTTTTTGTATGTTAAGTGCGAAGCTCTGCTTCGCCTGAGTTAAGATGAGATTCTTCATTCTCCTTCAACTCTTTTCATTGACGATTGAATTGTTTTAGACGACAGTATAATAGCTTCTAAAACAGACACACTCGATACTGCATCATCGGGTCAAACTGCAAAATCTAATGGGAAAACAGTACGAAGCCTGCCGGTGTCACCGATCTCAGAATTGACTAGTGTGAAACAATCATCTATGCCAACAAATGAAGAAACACTGGAATTCACCAACGAGCTTTTGGTATCAATGTCAAATTTGTGCCCATCTACGAAATTGAATAGATCGCATGTTCATTCAATCGTAACTTCATGTATGTTTAACTCGAAAAGTTTTTCGGCTCTAAAACTTCTAAACGAGAGCTTGAAAGAGAAACTCTTAGAAGTTGTTTCGCCATCAAGCGTATCAAGTGCAACTAAAAGGAAAATCGCAGAATTACAACCAGCCGTAGTAATGTCCCCACCTTCTGCAAAAAGTATAAGACTCGGGGGGTTGCGAGAGTCGCCGAACACTTCCTCAAATGGGGGTTCCCCAATTAAGTATCACACAAGTTCTTCGCAGAACTCGAGTCCCCCTGGTGGAAAAGTGGGGAGACCTCCTCTTATGCACAGTTATCCCGAGGAGCCGCCCAGGTTGCTTCCCTACTCACACAATGAGCATCAAGTGTCACAGCAGCAGCAGCAACAACAACAACAACAACAACAGAGTTTAGCAGCAGCTGTCGCCTCGCTCACGGGCACGACGCCAACAGCGCAAGAAACAGCTCATCACCTGAGCCACCTTAGTCAGCAAAGAGCATTGTCAGCTAGTCAGTTGCACGCGGCGTCATCTGCAATGTACCCTAGTCAACTTCATCACTCGTCACCACAGCACTCGGATAGTGTCGCGGCGATGCACGCTCGACTGGCGGCAACCTCGGATTACAGTAGAAACCCTTTGATCAGACACCCTAGTCAGCACCCAACGCCGCATAGCGTGGCCTCGCATGTCTCGGCAACGTCGCCCCATGCTGTGGCGATGGCTGCTGCGACACACGCCCATCATAACTCGTACCTCGTAAGTTGAAATGCTTTGAGCGCTTTGAATTGACTAAGATATGCATGCAATTTAACATTTGAAGTATATTAATAGAGGTGTTAATGATGGTAATCGGCGATCTTAAACCGAAATTCCTAGGTTATAAATTATATTTCAAATTGTGCTAGTTGTCACTTTCGTTAAATTGTTCGAGTTGTTGAAAATGGGGAGGAATTTTGTATTCGTTTACGTTTGGTTTTTTCAACTTTTTTGTTTTCCCTGCAAAATCAGGTACCACAAATAATCATCGGACAGGGTATAGTGATATATCATACTAAAGCCCTTTGACATTAAATAAGTTCCAAAAATATTTCTTATTGTCGCGAAAAACCGGTTTGAAATTTGTGATTTTTCAAACCGTTATTTTCGAGCGATCGAGTAACATTTGCTAGATATGTTATAATTTAGGCTATAAGCACTTGATTTGACTGAAAGGAAGGAAAACTAGTTTTCGAAGCTTCATTTTACTCTTCTCTGGAAAGAAAATTATTTGAAAAATATTTAAAAATTCTAGTGCAAAAATTCTAGTTTTAAAAAATTTTTATTCATTTTTGGATACCATTCGATTCACTTATGACGAATTCACCAAATTTCTACGCGTCGGGCTGGACTTTTTTTTCAGTATGTATGAAGTTATAGAAATATACGAATTTTTCAGTTTGTATGAAGTTTTTTCCAACTAAAGCTGCAAATATTGGTGCTACTTTTGGTGGCACCGTTACTGCTTTTTAATAGAATATGCCTGGACATTTGATAATTAAGTTTTTTGTTTTAAACAACAGCACAATAATAAAAACTTTGAGAAATTTTCCAACTCAATGTGTCTCGCAAATTTTTGAAATGCATGTTTTATATATCATTTGGCTTTATGCTTACCAATTTATTACATGCAAAGTTAGCGTTGAGGCCTTTAGTTTGCTATATGCCAATTTATTTCATGCAAAATTGTGTCTATCTATCATTGGTGCCACTCTTGCTGCATCGAACTGGCAATTTATTAGCATATATAGCTGCTTTATTTGTAACTAGTATTTGCCGATAGTTAAGCTTCCGTGGCCGAAATGGCAGGGCGTGAGAATTCAAATCTCGAGGTGCCAGGTTCGAATCCGGTAGGTAGCTTAGTTTTACTTATTCGAGGCTTATTTCTACTTTTTATACTGCTTATTATAAAGCTGCTTTTTTGCTGTATTCTCGGTAGTGTTTGCGAAGCTTTGCCTCTGTGTAAAATTTTTCGCCCTAACTTTCTATATTTTCATTTTTTTTATTCGGCTTAGCTCACAAGCTTATGCGACCTAAATTTTTCGGCCTATGTTTGATCGGCTTAGTTACCTTGATTTGTTTTGTTTTGCTTCAAGGGAAAAAAGAGGTTAAAAAAATCAGGTAGTTTGTTCGGCGAAAATTCAGTCTTAAAACTTAATTGCTAAAAAAAATTGTGTCAACAATTTCGTATGGTATTTTTTGTTATCGGCTTAATGAGCGGCTTAGAGTGCCTGTTTTGTTGGCTCAATGCACGCATTGTCGGCTTAGTGTCCCCTCAATAAAAAATTCAAGATTTTTTTTAATTGCTGTTTTTTGACTATTTTGATTTTTTTTTCTTTTTTCCTCAAAAAATATATTTTTTCGATTTTGTTATTTCCGTCTCAATTTTTTGTCGGTAGCTTGCAATGCTGTGATTGCTTTCTATCACAAGTGAAGCGAAGCTCCGCTTCGCCTCTGTGTACACTTTTCCAACTGTCTGCTTTCTTTATCACTTAACTTTGTTTTTTTTTTAGAATAATTTGCAGAAATCGGCAGCTGTCGCGCAGGCAGCAGCGCTCATGAAGTCACAACAACAGCACGCATTAGGTCACTCGTCTTCAACCAGTGCTCTTCACCACGGGTCTTCGGGAGTTCATGCTTCGCCACCCGGTGCTACTGGCGGACCCCCGGGAACCGCTGGTCCTCATCACAATCCCCACCCAGTAGCTGACTCTATGACGGCAGCAGCAGTTGCGGCTCAGTATCATCACAATTCAGCCGCCGAGCACCTTCGGCTATTTCCGAACTACCAGGGATCGCATGTACCGAAACGTGAGTTCGCGTTGCGCACCAACTTCACTTGTTCTCTTTTGCTTAGGTGAACCGAAAACTATAATACTGCCTGTCGATTCATGACAGCGCGCTCAAGCAGAATAAGCTTGCAAAGTTAACCTTTGGTTTCAACTTTTCAATAGCTCTTATACAAAAGTTTTTGGCAGTTGAATTAGAATTAAAAGCTATTAAAATCGGTTCGAGAAAGTTTTCTGGAGGCGGAATTACACGAAGCGCATGTAAGTGCCAATTAAAATTACTTCATTTGTAAGTGATAGAGACTGAAACTATAATAATTGGTCTGATTTTTAGAAAGATTGTTTTATATTATATGCAGATTTTGTACCGTGTTTGTCAAGTATAAGTGTAATTATCGGTGTTCTGAGTTTTTGGCTCGTCGAATTTTCTGCTATAGTAACTTGATTTTTATGAGTAATTGATGCGTATTTAAAAATTGTAGCATCGTTAAGACATGCGTGTCATGCTGCAGCTAGAATGTAGCAGCCCATGCCTCCTAGAATTAAAAGATTTAATCACAGATCAATGGTGTTGTGGCATTTTTAAGTTACAGAATTTTGATAATTTTAATGTTCAAGTTTCGAAGTCAATTGAGAATCGAAATTTGTTCAGTGATTTTCATTTGATTCATTTTTTCCCTTCCTTTATCCCTTCTTTAAATGTGTACAATTGTGATCTTTTCAGTCCTTCAACCCTCAGGAGTCCCGAATGCGTCCCAGATGGCATCCGCAGCGGCCCAAAATACTGCCGGGCACCGTTCGCCGATTCTAGCAGCAAATTCGTCCCTGAACAAAATGCCCTCCCAGAACCCCCATTATGGAGCCGGAAACTCAGTCGGAACAACTGGGTCCCATTACCCGCATGCGTCACTTGCCGGAGCCAATCCAACTGCGCATGAACTTGAGTCACAGGTATGATACCTGGTGATAAAATTCAATCCTAAACTTAAATGCCAAGATATTATGCTACTAATAGCAGAGGGGAAGGTCTTAGCATATGGTATCAGGTATCTCACTGTAAAATGCACTCGGCTTCTCTGACCAATTATGTTTTGTCAAACTGTGACGAGCTTCAAGAGTTCTAAATTTTAGAGTTCAAAATAAAACGGCCATGACCTAACTGTCAACGTCAATTCACCGCTACTATTTTGTCGTTAACTAATCACCTAAAGGAATTTGTAAATTTGACAGGGGTAAACATAAGAAAACCATCGTTTTGCAATAAGTGTGGTGTCTTGCATACCTCAGATAAGATTAATCTCTAAGCGAACTAATTGTCTGATTAGTCAAGCTAACATGAAAGAGAACAATTTCAGGAATTTCAGGAATGATGATCAGGCTTATCACGAATGTCCTTTCTTTTGGAGCTTCGAATTTCTGTTGCTCAAGTGTAAGCTATAGATGGACTTGATTATATAAAGAGGGGTTATGCTTTTCATGGCCCAAAATATTTGTGTCTGATAGGCTTTTGCTCAACAATTATCATGCTTAATAGCTCTTTTAACTTCAGGGGAGCTTTTGTAGTTCTTTTGGTCGTAAGTTTTTTGACTGGTTAGAACCGTCCGAGATATGAGGGAATGTTTAGCGCCGTGACTAGCCATTTGGAGGGAGCATTAGTTAGTAAATGTTTCTATGAATGTTTCATATTTCTCGATACAATTTAGTGTTTTGCTCCAGTTTGAAGTAATTTTCCGTTGGAAGCTCGGGTTTTCAAATGACTTTATGCGAATACACTTTTCGTTATGGATGGATATTAATAGCACTTAATATTTGCAAACCGGATTCTCTGTGATCCGGATTGCGTGGTTTTCATTTTGGCGCATGTTGGTCTTCCAGTCTGTGCGCTGTTTGCAGTATTGAGGGGCACGGATGCTTTTCAAAATCTGTGCGTGATCTCGGCTCAAAAGAATCTATTGCAACATGTTGAAAATTGAACGCCTTCAAAGACAGCAGTGACCATAACTGTGCCGATTGAAGATGTTCCTGAAGGGTCACTGCTTGAGAGCCAAATGTTGCATTTGTGACTTGTTTAATAGAGTGGAAGCTAATTTTGGTTCACACAGAAAATGCCAAGACATAACATCCGGAGAATTGGAAGAACATTTTAATGATTATCTATTTAAATGAGGAAAGACTTGTTGGTCTCGATGCCAAAATAGCAATTGAGGAGGCAGTCGACAGATAGTCAAAGGAGGCAATCGAAAAAATTTTGGAAAAAGTTATTCACGGAAGAGCTGATCTGAGCAGGTCAACTATAAAACTCGAAAAAAATACAAATAAACGAAATAGCTTTTTGTCAATTTTTGTTCAAAAGTCTGTGATCGTTGTTTTGGCGCCTTTATTTAGTTTTTTCAACAGTATAGATTATCATAAATTGAGCAAAGGTTTCCACCGAATTAGGTCATGTGCTTTTAATATTTACTTTTTCAGAAGCCTTAAATTTAATCCCGCTTTTTTCTTTTGTCGGATTGACTTTTGAAATTTTGCAAAGCAAATTTTTAATTGGCAACGAATGAAGTGCAACACGTCATTTAGCTGGTGTGCTTTTTTCTAAAGTTTTTTTTTCAGGAAAAAATTTTTTAGAAATTATTGACGATCTACTTTTTCCGCAGTTTTTTTCTTTGGAAGCTCTTAAATTCATTTGTCAAATTAAAGGCAAATTAAGCCCTTCATTAAGTAAATTGCAAAAACGCGCGAAAAATTTTATTGGTTTCTTGTAACGGAATTTGCAGTGGAATGAAAAGTTGGTGTTTTTCTCAAATTCAGCAGGCTTATGGAAAATATTTTTAATTTCCCGTTGTTATTTTTAAATGCCACTGAGTGTAGCGAAGATTGGGCGGAAAAGTTTTTCCCATTTCGTAAAGTAATCGGAACAGAAAAATATAGCAATCCAATGAACGAGAAACGCAAAAATTTTTGTTCAAAATTTAAACCGCTTTCTGAGTAACACCAAATTGTAAAACCGAATGGATCTTGTTAACTATTTCCCCCTATTTCGATTTTCAGAAATTCAACTTTGGAGGCCACTTTTTCAATAGCTTAAAAGAATTTTCAGAAAATATATATGAAATTTTTACGTGAGTATTATATAAATAGTGAGTAATACAAATACGAACGCGCGAAAATGAAAACCCTCTTAATTGTTGACATTTTTGAAATGCATATTTTATACAGAAATAGTTGTCAAAAATAGTACATGCATAGGGGGAATAGTTAACAAGGTCCAAAAAGGGGGAGGAAATAGTTAACAAGATCCAACCGAATAAATCGGTGTTTCTTTTCAGTATATTTCTTAAAGCAAAAATTAGCTCCAAATTTTGCAACTTCTGTCTCATGGTTTTCTTAGTGTTAATGAATGAAGTGATATTCAATTATTCGTTAATGCATCTTTTAGTCTTTGGTGGTTTGTTAGTAATTTTTTAATTTCAGTTTTCAAGCAGTGATCAAGGTATGCTAACCGTGATTGAACTGGGAATTGGCGCAAAAGCCCCATTTAATTTTTTGAACTCCCTTGGAAACACAAAATTAGCTATTGATCCTTTTACACAATTTTTCACGCTTCAATTAGATTTTTTCCTGCTAATTTATAATTTCTTGATTTAGTTAGATTTTCAATTTCTTTTCAGTTCAATTTCACTTCTAAAAATTGACAGAAAATTTTATTGGAGTTTAAAGAACTTCAACGCCAAAGTTTTCGGTTATGCTCAAAAAATAATCGTATTTTCTTGAGTTCATTGGGCTTGTTCCAACTCTGGTTGCCGTGTTTTTCCTAGTAAGGCACTTTTTTGCGGAATCGCAACATTTCCGCTCATTTTAAGATTTTAAGCGCATCCATGACTGATCGGTATCAGGAGTCGAACCTGTGTATGCTGCAAGAATTATTTCTTCTCAATTAAAGATAAGGTTTTGCTGGCTGATATTTGTAAAGCACGCATGTGTGATTTTATAACTTTTCTATTCAATTGCACTTGCTAAAAGATAGCCTAATTACAAAAATGCATAGGCGCGAAAAAATGCGAATGGCTTTTAAATTTTGAAATTTGAACACATAATACATTACCCTTGCGATAACGAGGGTATTCCAATCAGGTACTTTACTTTTATCCCGCAAACAACTTTTTTTCCCGTAAACAACTTGGTTGATAATGAATTCTAATTTTGTAGTTTCTCTTGCATACTTTATCTGGTGGTAGCGCATACGCCTATGGGGTAACGCATACGCAGTCCTTCATTTTAAAAATCGAAATTTGCTTCTCACATCGATTGTAATTTTACCACCTCGGTTTGTAAAAAATTATTTTTTTCCCTTTTTTCTCCCTCTTTTAATCGGCAAAATAAACGTCAGCCTAATTAATATCGACTTAGTGGCCTCTTATTGCGTCGTTAGGTGCGAAAAAAGTTTTGTGTGCGCTCTGAGGGAAATTTTTTTCCAAGTTAAGAATTTATTGAACTTTTTTTCGACATGAATGATTTCTGCTCAGGTTTTTGTGCTTTTTTGGACTGTTGTGTTGTGCTTTTTTGGACTGTCGTCCGTCTGTTTACACAAGCGTAGCTTGTGTTATAGTATGAGCTTTCTTTTTTCCAACCTAAGTCGCAAATATTGTTGCCACAAAATGTGTTCATTTTGAAAGTGTTCATTTTGATCAAGCTATTAAGCTATTATTGCATTGTTTCGTATACTAGTTTAAATGCGTCCGCTCTATTAATGGAGGCATGTTAATTGGAAAATTTCTTTTTTCATTTTGACTGGTACTGCTAATGCATCTTAATTGGCTTGCATCACTTAGCAATTATGTAGACTCATAATTGGCGTGCGTCACTTATGAAATTTTGTATACTCAAATTTTACTCATTCAGTTTTTCTCAGTAGCGTTATCGGTCATATTTTCGCTTGTGTATGCGGAGTGCAACTTCGCTTCTGTGTCATATTTGTCAGCTTAGTTCCCTTAGATCAATGGTTTAGTTCTATTCCAAGTTGCGGTAATCCCCAAGCTTGAGACGACAAATGATCCAGTTGCCTCTGTGTTTAATGATCAAGCTTTCTCAATTTGCGCAATTTTTTCTAAAAGTTGGCTGCAAATTTTCTCGAAATTTGAAAATCTTCAACGCCAAGTTTGAAGTTTTTCGAAAATGTTTAAAAATAATCGTTGAATCTTGTGACTTTCTTGCGTTCATTGGCGTTTTCCGTTTCTGTTAGATGTGTTTTTTACTGCCAAACGTACTACGCCAAGTCATATTTTTGCAGAATTGAAATAGTTCCGCTCATTTAAAGAGCATCCCTGGCTGATTGGTATCAGGAGCCAAACATAGTATGCAGCAAGAATTTTTTTCTCAAGTGAAATTTTTGCTGACTGATTTTTGTTAAGCACGCACGTGTAAGGATATAAATCTCATAAGCTGTAGACTAAGTAGTCTGGTGTTAACCTGTTTGCTTTTGAAGCGGCATGTTATGATATTAATACATAAGTGAACGAATGAAAGGCTTTATTATCTGGGCTTATGATTGCTCTTTCCTGAATCTTTCCTGTAGCGATGTGTAGCTAGTAGATTCGCTTTTCTTGCGATTTGCCTATCCATTTAATCTGCTCCTTGAAAATCAAATTTAGTGTTATTTTAAACCTTGCGAAAAGTAGACTTGGTAGAAGACTTTTTCCGTAAACGATGTTAATATACATTTTAATGCTATATTTTTGTTGTATCGTACGTTATGCGAAGCTCTGCTTAGCCTCTGTGTTTAAATATGGTTTATACATGAATTATTCTGAAAATTACGTCGTTAGGAGTGATTTCTCAGTTTCCTTAGGAACTCAAAAATTGTTTCGGTCTTTTTTTTTAAAAGAAAATTTCACTGTATTTCAAAAGCGAGACCACATTTTTGCTTAACTATTATGTGTTTTTCGTGCCATCATGTGTTTTTCATGAAGACACTTACATAGGTGGTAATGATTTTTTTGCTCTTTTTCATGAAAAAGTTCACGCCAAATTAATAAGGTCATTTAGTTTTGAGTTCGTTTGGTAAAAGGAGGGCAAATAGCATTGTCTAATTACGAAAGCAATAATGGCGTCAAACATTTTAACGTCTTCTAGTTTCGAATTTGGATTTTGATTGTTAAGTTTCCAAGCAGAAAAGATAAACTACCTATTGATCCAGTTTTCTCAAATTAGCTTATTTGTATAAAAAAACTGATAACCATAAATTTCAAAGAGCTTTAAGGCTATGCATTTTCTCCAAGAAAAACAAGTGTGTATTTTTTCGGTTTTCTTGAATTTATTGAAACTTTTTTAACTGTCGGCTATGTTCTCATAATGGTTGTTCTCTTAAGTAGAAACCTATATATAGAAAACATAAAATATAAAGCTATATAAAACCTAAATAGCTTTTACTTTCTTCAGAGTCGAAATTTGGGCCGATCATTTAGGAGCAAATTTTATCCTCTAAGAGGTTTCGAATAAGTTGCTGTTTTGCACATAACCTAAATATAGCACTGTTTATTGATTGAAGTATACCTTATTAGTCGAATGCGCTTTTGATTTATTTCAATTTCGCTAATGAGATCACATGTTCGATTGTTAATAGTTTCCTTTTCTGTGACCATTTTGTTCTCCAAAAGTGTCAGAAAAAAGTCAGCGAAGGTCGTCGTTTGTCTCTCGTCAAAGAAAAAGAGGTTATTGAAAACAAAATTGTTAAATTGAGTCTACCTACCAAATTGAAAACACATTTTAGCTGATAGGAAATAATTATTCTGCCGTAAAAAGTAAAAAAGTAGGCTAATTCTTTCCTCTCAGTTAATTGGAGTTTTCTGTGGTGTAATTGGAAGAAGAATCGAATTCCTTTTTCACAAAGCATGCTCGACACATTGTTCTCAAATCCTTAGTCCACGTTGAAGTCTTATTTCTAATTTGGATTGACCAAATTTTTAGGTTGACTTTTGTTTCAGGGTCGACCCAGTAGATTTTTGAGCTCTCCTAAGTAACGACAGAGACCCTATTTTGACCAAATTCCCTGAAAGTTGTGAAAAACAGGCACTTTTTGGAAGGATTTATAAAAAAAACGCGTTTTTTCGGCACACCCTTAAGAGAAGCCGTGCTCTACCTCCTTCCATTTCCTACTGATTGCAACACCTGTATAAGCACAAGAGTTTGCGGGTTCAATTTTGAAAATAATTGTCAACTTGGTTTGGATATTTTTGTTTTCGGTCACCATGCCTTCGTAGAATCGTCGCGTTCTGTTCGATACTTGTAAAAAATCAATCAGATTAAATTAATCAAAAAGCAAATGCCCTTTTCTTGGAAGTTTCAACAGATGAAAGGTAATAATAGATATAATTTAAGTTCCAAATTTGCATAAAAATTTGAAGTTGCATGCAATTTTGTTCAGAATTGGCTGATAGCTTCAAAAATTAATATTAATACTGACTGTGCCCAAAATTTTTATGTCAGTCAACAAAGCTGGTCCGAAATTTTCGATTTGCAGACTAACTTTCTGGCCAACTCGATTTTAGTTCTATTTCATTTTTTTTTAAATTAGTACTCATGAATGTAGTGAATACTCTTATATAGGTTTAAGTGATTTTTTGTTGTTTTTTTAGGAAAAAGTGTTAAATTGCTCCAATAAGTACAGATGTGCATTCATACCTCTTAATGCATTCATGAATGCACTTAGGTATATATGCACTTTTTGAGTTCAATTGAAATTCATCTGCTGAAAGTTACGTAAATAGCACAAGTTATGTAAATAACACAAGTTACGTAAATAGCACAAGTTACGTAAATAACACTCTCCAAATACGAACGTGGAAATGGCTATTTGGAAAGTGGATATTATTTTTTTTGATTTCCTGCGGAATAAAAACTTACCTACATATCCAGTTTTTTCTACTTGGGTTCCATGTTATCATCAAAGCGCCAGTCATAAATTGTTCTAGATATTCAAAGAGCTTAAATGGCATCTAATTTTTCATTTATTTAATTTACTCAATGTAAATTTAAATCAGCACGAAATATAGAATAAAACAGGAATGTATTTAGCGTATTTTATTCTAATAATGAGACCAACTGACTTAACTCAATTCAGTTTGGAACGCATTAATCCGCTGCTTACGCGGGTTATGAGAACGCAGTATATGCGCGTTTTTTGTCACAAACTGGCCAAATTAGCAATTTTCAAATTCCAATAACTTTACGGGAAAATATTACAGGTGATTTTTCTTACAATTGAGCTCTTGAAAAAAAAATTCTTTCATATAGTATAAAAAATTCCGTCAGAAATATATAGCCGAAAAGTCGAAATTAGTTTGAATAAAAAACCCACCCTAAGCAATAATATTCCGCTTTTTCACCGAAAGTAGGAACAATTATGTATCAGTTTGTGAGTTTTTTTTTGTTTCAGTTGCATCATGCCGCCATGGGAAGATTCGCTGCTCCACCTCATCTCAGTGCTTCAGGGACAGGAATGCCCCCCTCTAATACAGACCCAACTGCCGCCGCCATATTAGCTTTTCATCACGGTAAATACACAAATTTTTTTACACAAAAATTTTAAACCCTCCCTCCCACTGAAATTATCATGATGTATTTTTGGCCTTTTTCGACAGGCAGAAGCAAGTTCTTTGATCTGTAGTTATTTATCCAGATCTGATAAAAATATTTAGCTGACAAAGTTCCAAGCTTCTAACAGTTATTAATGAGACCGCATTAGCCTGCTGGTAAAAATTTCACGTTTCTGCACATTTTCTAAAAGGCCTCAGCGGAATCTCCATTTTGGCAAGTTAATGTCTTTTGCTTTGATTTCTTTTTTCCCTGTGGCTCTCTTGGCTTCAAAGCAGTTCGCTAGATCGAGACCGAAAGTTTGCAGTATAAATATATTAGATATGCCCGTTCTCAATTCAATTATTCTCCGCACGGATTTGAACCTCGGGTATTCTGCTCTGAACGAAGCCATGTTTCACAGGGAGTCTTAATCTTAGGCCAATCAAACTCTTCAAAAGCGTCGACCCATAACTGAAGTGTAACACAGGGATCTTAAGTAATTTTTAAAACGATTTGCACCGTCTTGTTGTACATTGACTTACCTTCGTTCATATTTGATGCGGAGACAGACTTTCGTTGTAAATATGCAAAGTACCGCCTTGATGCTGACGAAACCGCAACGAGGGATAGTAGTAACTCTTTCAGCAAAACTGGCAGTAGCCTGCAAAAGTATACCAAGGTTTCTTATGCAGAAAGCACGAAGTGCATGGATGTTGTGCGTGCTCGATACCATGTTGTCTTTGTACTACCTTCGGCCATAGTCTCTTCTCTACTCCGTGATTTGTCTGAACAAAATTTTTTTAAAGTATCTCTCTTTTGGAGTCACTATGAGATCTTGTATCGTAATGTTTAAAGTATGTGTAAAAAGTCAATTTTGCTGATTAAGTTGATGATGTTATTTAGAGTCACAACGAAAAGCAGCAGCAGCTGCTATTAATGCGGCCGCCTTGCAACAACAACAGCACCATCCGATGCCGCCATCTGCCGCCGCCGCAATCAACGCAGCAGCCGCACATCACTACAATCAACATCGACAGCAGAGCGCGAACAGCAGTGCTACCGGAATGCAGCAGTCGCCGCAAGGTCCTCCCGGACAGCATCATGGAAGTGCTACGACTGTGAACAGTGCTGCAGCCGCTCACGCTTTGTCTTCAAATCACCACAATCCCTACGGAATAGGATCGGCCGTTTCTGCCGCTAATCATTTGGTAAGTTTTCAGTCTTAATTGACTGGTTAAAAAAACGACTTTTGGTTAAAAAAACGACTTGTAAAGTGTTCATCAACGAAACGATTTTTCACTTATTTAGGTCGTCTATAGTTTGTTCACGCTCAAGTCAATGTGTTGTTTAATGTTTCCTCAAGTCACCCTAGCAAAACTCTAGAAGCGCGATTTTGCTTTAAGTAAGATCGTTAAAGTTTGAGTCTGGGAAATTGTTCAACATTTTTCGATGATAAATAGCCGAATCTTAATATCAAGAACGTAATGGAAATAACTGTCGGAAGAAAAAACAACAGAAAGAACTGAAAGAGTTACGTGGTTGGGTTCCAAAAATAGCAAAATGGTTATTTCACGCTGTTGGTTGAAATTAGCCAAGAAATGAACCGTTCTATTCTGGAAAAATGACAACTACGTTCCATGCACAAGATTCTCCAAAGCAGTTATGTTGTCTCTTACATTTGACCAACTTTCTGGTGTACGAGCCTAAGACCTTTTAATATCTGTATCGTCAAAAAGATGCGACCGTTTTTTGGCGCCGGACCACGTAACTATGTAAGTTCATTTGTCTGTCGTTGTTCCACCAAATAAATTCATCTAGCAATTTCAACCCTTTATATTAAAAAGTTGCAACGCAAATGACAAAACGTGAAGAAAAAAAATTGATCATTTGATTGTTGGAATATGTAGTAGTAGACTCTATTAGTAGTAGACCGTTGAGTATAGGAACCAATTATTGACGCTGATTTAACCATTGAGTGCTGAAGCTTCTCAGATGCTAGTCGGCGCTGAGCTTCTCACGGACTACACTACGATTATGAGTTTTCCAGGTCGATAATGGTGGCGGAGTCAACACACATTCGCCCATATCGAGACAACTCAGAGGAGGAGGAAATGGGGGTGGTGTCTCGACAGACGCCGACTCCTCTGGCCCTGTGTCCTCCCATCAAAATCCAGTTGGCAGCAACATGCACTCGAAGCCTCCCGGATCCCATTGTGCTAACTGTGGCGGAGAGGCCATCTATCTGTGCTCCGGCTGTAGAAAGATCTGGTACTGCAGTCAGGACTGTCAAGTTAGTACCATATACTTTTTTTAAAACGTCTATCCTGTTTTCGGCGTTGATGACGAGAGATTTTTCATTTATATAGGTTGCTGAAAAATCTAAAGCTTGGACTTTTTGTATCCTTTCCATAACCAATGATTTTGCTCCTGGTTAAGAATCCAACAATTTGGATAATTCCTACAATTTCTTCACGCTCAAATTTGAGGTTTCGCTGTTTGACGTTTGATTTCTTTTTCAGTTCAATTTATTTGTTTTGTCAAAGGAAAGACAATTCCACTGTCGATCAGAAAAAGTATAAAGATCACGAAACACTTGATCGACTTTTAGTTTCGAGTGTAATTTAATTTACAGATGTCCCACTGGAATAAAAAGCTTTACCTGTTGATCCAGCTTTCTCAAATTGAGTTACTTTTAGCTACAAAATGTCAATCATAAATTGTTAATGAAATTCAAAGAGCTGTAATGCCATATATTTTTTTACTTCGTGATTAAAAAAACAGGAAAAACTTGTTCAAGTTTTAGCATCGAAAGTGGATTTCAATTTTCAGATATCCTAGCGGCATTTTCAGATATCCCAGCAGTTGAATCAGTTTTTTCAAATTGAGTTAATTTTTTGAACAAAGTGTGGCAATCATTAATTCTTATTTACCTTAGCGAGCTAAAGAGCGTATTGTATTAGTACAAACCCTCTTTTGTTCCAACGTAACGCACAAATAAAAGTGGTCTATTATTTAGTGGCACTTGCTATAATCATGGTTTGTAGCAATGGATATTTTATATCTTCTGGTCTCTTTTGTTATTTGTGGCTAGTTTTTGCTATTTATTAAGCGTCTGAGGCTGAGTGGTTAGTGGGCGAGACTCATAATCTCTAGGTCGGAGATCGAATCCGCGACAGACGTTTCTACTTTTTCTTATCGCACTTTAAACAGCTGCGTTTTTGTCGTATTATTGCTGTGTGAAATTCAATGAGCTGTAAGGCTATATATGTTTTAACTTCGAGAATTGAATGTCAGGAAGATTTTTTTTTCAAAAAGATAGTTTTATCTCTGTTTCCTTGCGCTCATTGACTTTTGCCAACCCTCTGTTGGCTATGTGTTCTAATACTGTACTTTTTTCCGTTTAAATTTTTGTATTAAAAGTTGGTTGCAAACATGAGGTTTACCTAGACTTAGAATCAGGTATCAATAACACTTGCGAAACATGTAGTTTCAGGGGAGGGCTTGAAAATTTAAAATTTTATTTGATCAAATTAATTTTTTTTGGCTCAGTTTGTCTGCTCTAATTTTGTCGGTTTCGTTGCCACATCACGGTTTTTACTTGTGCTGTAAGCAACTCTCATTGTACTTGCAAGTGCAATTGTTCTAGGTAGTTTCAGGGGACTCAAAAGTTTAAAAACATTTTTTATATTTAAAAAAAATTCTTCATTTGCCTCAACTTGTGCCTGCTCAATGATTGTCAGCTCAGTTGCCTCATCGCGGATACGTATTTTTCTTGTTCTGTAAACAACTTTCATTGACGTTGCAAGTGCAGGTGTTGATTAATCTTTTTCAAGGGGGACTTGAAAGTTTTTAAATTTAATATATTTTTTCCGGCTCCTTGTCTTTTTAAAGATAGTCGGCTTTGTTTCTTCTTCGAAAGTTTTGTTTTGTTGAGAACTTTATATTCAATTGTCTGGTGTTTTTGCATAAAATGAATTTCCGCCGAGACTTACGAAACTTTGTTTTTGTGGACCTAGTTTTTTTTGGCTTTTTTCATTCTTTGTCGAATTGTTTTTTATGTTTGTAATAGAAATATCTTTGTTGGCTTCATATAGTGTTTGGTTAATATTTTCTTTGGTATTATACATAGTTCACTATTCACTGATTTTATGCATTCATTGTGTTATTTTACTAGCGTACTTTTTTATACTGTTCTCCCATAATTTGTTTATCAAGAAATCAAGAGATGATAGTTAATAGCTCGCAAGCTTCACATTAGAGATCTGCTGCTCAACCAATGACATCGATCGAAACAGTATTTAATTTACTTACGCTTGCGATTAGCAAGAGTTGTCAAACGGAATGTAGACTTTTCGGGCTAACAACTAGCTTAACAAAATTGGTTGAATGAATCACTTGTCTTGCTCAATGCACTTCACTAGACATGCTCAATTTTGTGACAATTCAGTTTTAACCACTGGGTGGGTTCTAGTTACTACAGTAGTTTCAGGGGGACTTCAAACTTTTCAAAGTTTTTACAACATCATTTTTCTTTCGCCTCAACTGGTGTCTGCTCAAAGATTGTCGGTCTTGTTTCCGCTTCGTAAGTTTGTTCAGTTGCTTGACAGGTTTACCTAAAATTCCTATTTGATAAAATAATAGGACTATGAAAGTGTATCGGATCCGGTTTTTTTTATTTGGGAAAATTGTATCACTTTTTGCAAAAAAAAAAATCAGTTTTTTTCCCAAAAACCTCTACCGATTTTCAAAAATAGGGTATCCATAGAAAAATCGCCTACATTCTAGTTTGCGTGCATACTACCTTGGTCTTTTTTGCTTTACCCCTTGAATTGGAGGTTGAATTGAACGGATTTGAAAAGTTCGCCTCCATAAGCGGTTAAGCCCAAATTTTTTACACTTTAAATTATGGCACTGGGAATTGTCAAATTTTTTTTATTTTCTGACCGTTTTTTAATCTTTTATAACTTTCCTCGAAAAAGTTATCACCCTCGGGAAAGTCAATTTTTTGAGCGTTTTTTTCTAACTTTTATGAATTTACCGAGAAATACCCTCTCATATATTTTTGGGTTCAATCCATTCAAAGGACGGCTTTGTGTCACAAAAAATAATGGCCCTCGGAAAAGTCAAACTTTTATTTTTTAACAGTTTTTCGAAACTTTTCTCGAGAACTACCCTGCCAAACTTAAGTTTTGTGTTCAATAGAAATAACATGATGGGTGCATCTCTTCTGTATAAACGGCGACTCTTATTTTTTTCGAAACTAAAAGCTGTGAATCTCGAAAATAACAAATTTCTGATTTGTTGGCCGTTTTTCGAACTTTTCTCGATAGCTGTCCTGCCAAATTTGATATCATATGTTTAATTGACTCAAGTTGTTGAAAACTTAGCTTTATAATTTTTCACACAATTCATTTTAGAAAAAAAAGTTATGGCTCTCAAACAAGTTGAAGTTTTAAAATTTGAACCATTTTTGGAAGTGTTTTTTTACCTTTCTCGAAAATTACCGTGCCAATTTCCTGGTTAAGTGATCAATCAAGAAATCTGATTTCGGGAACTTTCTCTACTTTACCGTCCACGATCTGATTTTAGCAGAAGAAAAATTTTTGAGATTTGATATTGTTTTAGAAACTTGATTTTCAAAAAAATCCCTAACAAATCGGAGAAAAAATTTTTAATCGAAAAAAGCGGTTGTACGAATTTTTCTGCAGAAGCGACTACTCTTTAATTTTTTGTAAGAGAAATTTTATGTCTTTGGAAAAGTTCCAAAATCAGAATTTTTTAAGCTTATTTATTTTAGTCGAGAAACAACTAAGATTTTGGACAGTCCTGTTTTTTGAAATTACGCATTAGTATAACAAGTTCAAAACATATAAATAACTTAGCCGAACCTTAGCTATCTTTCATCGAGACATACAAAACTTTTGGTTCAATTAGTTTTTTTCTACTTTTTTCTCTTTTTTGTCTTATGCTTTTTATGATTGTGTTGTATCGCAAGTGGTGCGAAGCTCCGCTTCGCCTCTGTTTTTTTTGAAAAGAAAAAATATCAATTGAAAAAACTTATTTCTAGTAGATTTTTGATAATACATGATTTATGCGTCAGACAACTTATATATTCAATTTGAAATATTCAATTTGAAATAAACCTAAGAATTAATTTGGATAAAGGTTATTGAAAACGGCACACGCTATTCCGTTTCAACCTATACTGTCTTATCCTATTTTACACATTATGTATCGCATCTTTACTCTTTTTAATGCACATAACATTTACCCATCTTTTTGAAAAATCCGAAAAAATATATCCGAACAGATCAAATGACCATAATTTTGATCAAAGACTAATTGCCGCACGTTAAATAAAATATCAAAGCAACGTTTAATTAGCTTGTTCAAAATCCAAATAGTTCAAAGCATGAAGGAACCTCAGAATTAAGTGCTTGAATCTGTTTTCCTTGTAGCTATTCCATAAAATAATAAAAGTCAAGTATATTTTAGTCGCTTCAGCTTAGTTGATAATGCATGTGCTCTAATATGAAATGTTTAAAAGATCAAATCACCGTGCAGTCAAAAGTTTCTATCTGAAACTCGAAAATACTGAGGTTCCTTGATTGAACAAAAAAGGGAGTATAGACGCCCCAGTGCCAAGCCAACGCGGTACTGGGAGATGGTGTGAAGGAAGAGGATAGATATTTGTTTGTTGTTGGTCTCTATCATCTCCCAGAATATCAGTCTTTAGGCATACCAGGTTATCAGAACTGTATGTTTCAAAGAAATTTAATTGAATCTTTTGAAAATTCACAAACATTTAAGGGCTGGCGATTATTTATTTCTGTAGTTTCCTGGTTGATGTGACTTTTTAGAAATAGGAATCAACCTCATAGTTTTTCACTAACCGTAACGTTCATGTCAAACGGTCAGTAACTTCGTCTAACTCATAAGCTCGAAACGTATTGCCAGAATGAGCTTTAGAGTCAAAATCAGCTTGTGATTGCCTTCAAATAAGCGCTTCCTTACTTTTATGGTTGATGGTGTGAGTTAGGTGAAAGAAGCAAATGCTGGGTTATTAGAAAAAGATCCAAGAAAGCGTTGAGCGGTGCTCGTTCGATGTCGGAGATTCCTCTGTGGCGCTGCTCTGTGAGATAGTTTTGACAGACGGTTCATGAATTTATAGTAGGTGTGCTCAGTTTATGAGGAGCAGAGCATAGCCGCAGGACTGGTAAAAGCCAGCTATGTGTCGATGAACGGTATATATCTGGTAAATCTGCATCGGACAAATTTTGAGTGTGCTAT